TTCTGACACGCTCACGCTCGTTCTGACACGTTCACAAACGTTCTGACACGCTCACGCTCGTTCTGACACGCTCACGCTTGTTCTGACACGCTCACGCTCGTTCTGACACACTCACACTCGTTCTGACACGTTCACAAACGTTCTGACACGTTCACAAACGTTCTGACACGCTCACGCTCATTCTGACACGCTCACGCTCGTTCTGACACACTCACACTCGTTCTGACACGTTCACAAACGTTCTGACACGTTCACACTGGTTCTGACCCGTCAGCTCAGACTCTTACCTTGACCTTCACCATACGTTTAACAGTCTTGATTTTGGCTTCACAGAAGGCTCCTCTGTATTTGGCACTGACCTCTGTCCCCACGGTCAGGTAGGCAGGCTCATCTGCTGCCTGGAACACACACACACACACACACACACACACACACACACACACACGGTCAGACAGAACCATCCCATCCCATCCCAGACCCAGTGTATTTAGTCAGTACCGACACTAGAAGTGAACTTTTGGACCCCTCCACTTTAACGGTTGGGTTGTTGACACTTTCTTGGCACAGGAAGTTCATTTCACTACAAACCTGTCAGACTTCAGGTTTTACCTGAACAGGTGTAAAACATTAACTTTAAAAGCTTCAAATGTTCTGACCCGGTTAGATTCAACAAACTGGTTCTCCTGAATGTCTGAGTGGACGTCATGAAGACCAGTCTGAGGTTCCTGGTCCACAGGAGTCCATCAAGGTGAGCGTCACAGAGACTGCACTTCACCAGTTTAGACCAGTGGTTCCCACACTTTTCAGCTTTTGGCCCACAAAGTACCAGCAGAGACCTGACCCCCAGCTGGTGTTGGTTGAGAAACATTGTTTTCACGTCAAATAAACAAGAGCATAGTAGCAATATTTATTACGGTACTCTTTTTGTCCATTTTAAGTACACTAACTTTACTCTTTTTTGTAACAAAGGCAAAAAAAATTATTGATAGTTGTAATTTTTTAGTGTCATTAATTCAGAAAATCTTTGCAGGACCCCACCTTGATGTTTTGGGACCCCACTGTGGGTCCCGACCCCAACTTTGGGAACCACTGGGTTATCAGCTGACCAAAACTGCAAACGTCCCATCAAGACCCCAACAGGGTCCTCATCAGTCCTCCTCTATCCCGCAGAAACCTGGACTCTGAACGCAGACCAGGACCACTGAAACGACTCGCTAAAGACGCCTGTTTCAGGTGCACCGGTCTGCAGTCCACACAGTCACAATGATGCGTTGGTACCGAAACATGGTACCGTTTGATGTTACGTGAATAGATACTCGGTAGTACAGACAGAATTAGGTCTTTATTCATAAAAGTATCGAATTCAGTACCCATCCCTAATCACAGATGGATTTTATTGTTTTACGCTGCTGTTGTTAACGTGTTACGATGCTGTTGTTAACGTGTCACGACGCTGTTGTTAACGTGTCACGACGCTGTTGTTAACGTGTCACGACGCTGTTGTTAACGTGTTACGATGCTGTTCTTAACACGTTACGATGCTGTTACGATGCTGTTGTTAACAAGTTACGATGCTGTTGTTAACACGTTACGATGCTGTTAACACGTTACGATGCTGTTGTTAACACGTTACGATGCTGTTGTTAACACGTTACGATGCTGTTGTTAACACGTTACGATGCTGTTGTTAACACGTTACGATGGCTGTTAACACGTTACGATGGCTGTTAACACTTTACAATGCTGTTAACGTGTTACGATGCTGTTAACGTGTTACGATGCTGTTAACACGTTACGATGCTGTTAACACGTTACGATGCTGTTAACACGTTACGATGCTGTTAACACGTTAAGCTGCTGTTATTAACACGTTACGCTGCTGTTAACGTGTTTTGCTGTTAACATGTTATACTGTTATTGTTATGCTGTTAACGTGTTACATTGTTATTAACGTGTTATGCTGCTGTTAAACGTTATGCTGTTATTAACGTTATGCTGCTGTTAACGTGTTACATTGTTATTAACATGTTATGCTGCTGTTATTAACGTGAGCTGCTGTTTGTAATGGAGTCTTCTGTTAGCATTGATGCTAACTGTTAACATGTGCTTAATATGTTTTTAGACATGAAAACACATCTGTGTTAACTCAAAAGAAAACCCAAACTGAGAATGAAGTTCTGCCCTTTTCTCTGAGCAGAACCTCTACAGGAGACTGAAACCAGTGCTCCATCGTTGAGACACAGGAACTGGGTCCTACAGAACTGAAACTGGATTCATCCAGGTCTTTGAACCCATTCTAGGACCCCAGATTGTGGTCTTAGCTTGTGAGGTGGGCCAGGACTCACCTTCATCTCCTCGGCTAGTCCAGGGAGTCCAGCACGAAGGATCACTGAAAGACAGAACCACAGAAAGGTTTTGGGTTAATGAAGGTTCTTCAGAAGTGGGTCTGGTGGTCAAAGAAGACGGTTCTGAGGAATCCAGATGGATTGGRGTTAAGTCGAAGCCTTTGGAACCTGCAGGGTTTAGGTCAGAACCTTTGGGTCAGATTAGAAGCTTTGGATCGGAACTTGTGGACTGTGTCATGTCGGAACCGTCAGAGCTAACCACCTAGCCACGCGCTTGTGTTAGCTCAGGCATTCTTAGCTCGGAGCTGCTCCTCCTCCTCCTCCTCCCCCCTCCTTCAACCCGGATCAGTAAATATCTACTCCAAACAGCCCGGACAAACTTAACCAGCAGCCTTTACTTCACCCGAACCCGAAGTCCCGAAGCTCGGCGAACGGCTCGGTTCGGTTCGGGTCAGAAAGCGGCAGCCGAACCGTCGGAAAGGAGCCTTTTCACTTCCCGCTCCGCTGGCAGCAGCGCCTCGGAGTCACGTCGCCATCACGGCTCGCCATGTCAGTTAGCTCGGCTAACTTCACCCACCGTGTCCGCCCCCCGTCACGGCCACACGCTGCTGGGAGGCAAATCCGCACCGATCCACCGAGCCCCGAACCAAAACAAAGTCCAAAGAGCGAGCGGACCGAGCGGGTCGTGCCCGGTTCTCTCTCTCCTCCGTCCGGAGCGACGTTAGCTTGTTGGCTAAAACTAGCCAGTTTGTCATCGCGGCGATTTAAACTGTSAGGCGGAGGAGAGCCGCTTCCACCCGACACCACACGAGATGTTCGGTTCCGAATACGAATGAAGTTTCGGCTCACCGAACCGGGCGGGACCTGCTGAGAAGTTATTTATTTAATAAGCGGCTCCTCCACAAAGAGGCAGGAGCTTCACATTTCTCCACAGCGCGGCTCGGACCCACACATCCAGCCGCCCTCCACAGCCCTCCCCCCGGCTCTCCGGCCCCGGGGATTCGCCGCGCGGGTMAGCGGATCGCAGAGGCTCGGTATTTTATCCGGATTGTGGAGGTTTCTACTCACGTTCACCGCCGCMGTTGCTTCCTTTCTCGCTCGGGCTGCAAAGCGATACACGAACAACAAGCTGTTGAGCTTCCTGACACCTGATTGGTCGAGACCACAGCGCAGGTCACGAATGAGACATCTGATTGGCGGAGCGTTTCTCTCATTCCCATTGGACGCACTTCATTCCACGCCGCCTATTGGAGGATACGAACGCGGCGCCACGAGGGAAATGACGACACCTGAAGCCGTGGTGTCCAATCAGAGAGCAGCATTGATGACAGGGAGGAAACAGCCAGGAAGGGCGGCTGTGATTGGACAGACGCGTTTCGTCTCCAGCAGCTGCGCGCTCTGATTGGCTGAGCGGGCTTCCTTGTTTGTCCCCTCAGAGTGAAGCCCAGCCCAGCTACGTGCTGGATATCTGCGCACTAAACTTCAGACACAAACCTGTGACATTAGCATGTTTCTGTGGACATGTAAACACATTTCAACAAATCTGAGAAAAACCTGCTGGAAGCCCCGCCCCGTGAGGTCCATAAACATTCCCGCCGAGCCGCCCATGCTTCCTGTTTACCAACACTAATCCAACATAAAGTACTTTAATAATATCAGACTTCTGCTCTGCTGGCTGGGATCGACACAGACAGCATGTTGGATCAATGTCTAATTATAAGAACTGTGTTTTACAGAGCAGAACTGTGAGGAACRTCAACACAAACAGAAGGAGACGAGCGGGACTGTGACGTCACACGCAGCAGTGACGTAATTTCGGGTTTTAGAGTTAAGATAACAGGATGAAATCGTAAACATAACTCAGTAAATCAGTGTTTGGTAGGTTCTTTGCTGTGACAAGACTTCCTGAGTACAAATCTAACATCAGCACCAACAAGTCAACACAATCAGCTGTTTGACAAAGAGCATTTAGCTAATTGTTCATGTGCACAACCCACAGCTCATCTCACAAATGCATGTTCCTTACAAATGTGGCACTATTTAAAGTGTAGAAGCATTGTTACAACAATGAAATTCTGCATCAAATACTCATTTCCCTACTTTTTCATTTCTGCTAAGTGTCTATGAAACACTCAAACAGCAAACCAAATTTACTTAAAGAGAAAGCAACAAATTATATATATATATATAAAAGCATTCTGGATGGTTAAAGTTTGGAAGGGTAAGAATAAATAAAAACCAGTTTTGGTGCTAACTTTTGGCCAGCTGTTCCAAACAGCGAGGATGTGTTTAAATCAAACTGTCGGTAACAGAATGTTTTTATTGGATAAATCTGTAGAATAAAACCTCATCTCTCCATGTGGTCAGTTCCTTGTTCTAACCTGGAACCAGAGGTTCAGATAGAAGAACCTGATGTTCTCAGTAGCTACGTTTACATGAGCAAAATTCTTTGATGGGATTGAAATGTATTCAGATTAAATAATCTGAAAGTATTGTTTATATGGACATAATCTGATCATGACGAGTGTTTACATGCAGCAGGCTTTTATTCTGATAGAAGCACTGACATTTACAGCTGTTAAAAAAACAGAAAAAAGTTATATTTTCGTCATGAACATAAACAACCAGATTAAGTGTTTACATGCATGCTGTTTGGATTATCAATCGGCATAAAGCACCTCTCTTGTTCCGATTACAAATTCATTTGGATCGAGCTGAATCGGGTCAGAATAATCTGAACTGGGTGTTTGCATGATGTGTTTTTATTCTAAATGGTTGTTTAATCTGATTACAGATGTCCATGTAAACGTAGCTGAGAGAACATCAGGTCCTGATGTCAGCTGTCAGAACGTCAGCTTCTTGAACACAGACACTGATCTGGGAWCAGTTTGCTTGCTGTTTGGTGTTTGTGGAGCAGGAAGTGTCCATATTTGGTCAAAGCGTGGACCGAATGACTCAACAGGTTCTAATGAGTTTTTATTAACTCCGAGCTGCAGAGAAACAGGAGAGACGTGAGACTAACAGGAGCTGCTGTCTGCACACCAACCTTTGTTTTTATATTTACCAGAATGTGAGTGGAGCTGGTCCTCAGCCCGTGCACGTGGGTCCAAATCTGTGCACAAAGTGGAATCAGGAGATTTTCTGCTTTTAAATAAAGTTCTCTGGATTCAAAGATTTCCTTTAAATCTGTGATTTAAGAAGATAAACATCCAGATACCAATTTATCAGATTAGATACAAACAAACAGTCTGCAGTCATTTAGTTGAAAGAAGAAAAGCACCAAACAGAACAAAGTTTAATGAATTATTTTAAATCTACAGTAAAAACAACAGATGAACCAAAATATCAAAGAATTTAAGGACTGTTGTTTTTATTTCCTGACAAAAACATCAACAAAACAAACAAGTTTATAAAACTCTAAATACTCAGATGAGATGATACCTGAACAGGTTTGTTTTACAGAACAGGTTCCTGGACCTGGACCCAGATCCAGAACCTGCAGAACCTTCATGGTGGCAGACGGGTCTTCATGGTGAGGCCAGGTGTCAGAACTCAGGTCCAAACAGAACAAGTTCAGTCTTTCTTCTGGAGACCCTGGCCCTACTGGACCAGAACCAGGACCAGTTCAGTGAGGCACTCCCAGCAGTCCAGCTTTAGCAGCCAGAGCCTCGTTCTGCTGGATGTGGTACTCCTGGAAGCGCATGGAGATCCTCTGGGTCATCTTCAGGTACTTCTGCAGGCAGGACTCAGAGCAGCTGGACTGGAACCACAACAGAACCAGATCAGGCCATAACCAAGGACACCAAATGAAAACCCTCGTAGCACCGGTCCAGACAGGACCAGAACATTTTCATTCAGTTAGATTTTCACTAAAATCAGTTTTAATCTCTTTATAAGTAAAAAAAAAACATGATGTCAGCATGTTATACCTGTGTTATAACAACATTAACATTAAACTACATTATATCTGTAATAAACCACGTTATACCTGTGTTATAACAACAATAACATTAAACTATATTATATCTGCAATAACCCACGTTATACCTGTGTTATAACAACAATAACATTAAACTATATTATATCTGTAATAACCCACGTTATACCTGTGTTATAACAACAATAACATTAAACTATATTATATCTGTAATAACCCACGTTATACCTGTGTTATAACAACATTAACATTAAACTACATTATATCTGTAATAAGCTATGTTATACCTGTGTTATAACAACATTAACATTAAACTACATTATATCTGTAATAAACCATGTTATATCTGTGTTATAACAACATTAACATTAAACTACATTATATCTGTAATAAACCATGTTATATCTGTGTTATAACAACATTAACATTAAACTACATTATATC